TGAGCCAACATGATTGGCCTGCAACCACACCACCAGGACGACATCATTTCGACGTCATGGACCATCTCGTAGTAGCCCCATGGGCTTGCTGCCCCTGCACTGACAACCAAGCTTCGACCTGGGTTAGGTTTTACGCGAGCCTAAAGCCTTGAGCCCACCAACAGGCCTATAGCCTTGTTAGACCATCCCCTGCAGCTTGCCCCAACTTGCCAGCAAGCCTTGTGCTTGATGGGCTTTGTCTTAGCTCTGGCCTACCTGCAGCAAGCCTCGGCTTGCTGGGCTTCGCCACCTATCATGGCCCGATCACCAAAGCTAGCCCAGATGGTTGGGCTTGTTTCTCAAGCCCAAAATATAAGTTAGCATGCGGCTAGGCTTTGCGTGCACACCTCAGGCCAGCACATGTGCTAGGTCTGTGTCCCCCCACGCTATTTTGGCCCCAAACCAACAGCTTGGGTTGCTGGGTTCCTTCCCATAACCGACCTGTGGCCTGCAACCATGATTGGGCTGCCTTTACGGCCAACCCATGGCCCATTAAACCCTATTTAGGGCCTTACCCTGTACACGACAACCAGCCCACTAATATTGGGCTACAATTTTTCGAATCCAATGTTATTTTTTTAACATTCCCGCTAATATTACCCCGAATGTTATTATTTTGCTCCTACATCAAACCTAGATGGTTACGATCTATTAAATTAATTAAAGTGACCAGCAATCCATTAATTTGACAATTAATCCAAAATTATTGGCTTAAAGCTCACTTTTTGGCAATTAACGATTCAATAAATTATTTCTTTTCTTTGAACAGTTGACTATTTTTCGCAGTCTCGATGCACTCACACTTGGGATCCTGAAGCAATCCACAAATTCACTACACTTAGTTGTATATTGTATTATGTGTTCTTGCAAGTATCCTTATATATGAACTAAACATTCATAACTAAATCGAACCTGTAGTTTGGGATTTAGCTCATTTGAAACCTGCAGTTTTCACTCAAAAGTTAGCACATGAAACCTGTAGCTTTCATACTTAAATAAACCAATACGTCTATAGAACCCAAATGTTCTATAATGTATGTCTATGGTTTTCTATAAGACTAACCACGTTTTTGTTTTACCATCTATTTTAGGGACATGTCGAGCTTGAACAAGCTCGATTTCATTGCTTTAGAAGTATATGGCAGAAACTACCTAAAGTGGATTCAAGACGTGAATCTCCATCTTACTTCAAAGAGTCTTCGAGCCACCATCGAGGAACTTACCGACGACCCAGTCGATGAAGCTCAGAAAGCTACTGCTATGATCTTCATCCGTAGACACATCCATGATGCACTGCAGTCCGAGCATCTAAATTGATGATGACCCTTGCACCCTTTGGGTTGCTCTGGCCGATCACTTCAATCACCAGAAAAACATTTACTTGCCTGAAGCAAGACATAAGTAGCAACATTTACACTTCCAAGACTTTAAGTCTGTGAACGAATACAACTTTGAAGTTTGTAGAATCCAATGATTGATTAAGTTATGTATGAGGACTTAACAGAAGATGATGTCTTAGAGAATACCTATTCGACCTTCAATGCCACCAATATTGTCCTACAACAACAATATAGGACACAAAAGTTGACCAAATTTTTGGATTTGATCTCTGTTTTACTTCTCACTAAAAAGCAGAATCATCTTTTGATGAAGAATTATCAAGCTTAACCTACTGGCTCGAACGCTTCGCCTGAAGCGCATATGATGAATTCTAGGAGCCACAACCGAGAAAAACCTTGTCATGGTCATGGAAATGGACGGCAAGCACCACAATGATCCTAAGGTTAATAAAGCAAAGGCCCACCCACATGAGGAAATTTGACCCAGAAGTGCAACAAAGTAGAGGCCCACCCACATGAGGAAATTTGACCCAGAAGCACCAACCCCTTGCCCCTAAGGCCCCAAACTTCAAGAACAAGAGAAAAGCTACCGTTCAATCGGCTTTCATTGAGCTAGACATGTGCATCCGCTCCCACAGAAGAATAAAGTTTTATTTTCCTAAGACATGTTAGGGTGTTTTACACCCCTAGTGGCCAAACCCACTAGGTGTGGCCGAACTCCCTTATTTTTCTAGGTTTATGGTTTAATTTTTGGACAATTTTTCTAAGTTTTTGAATTATTTGTTTGGTTTTTGTTTGTTTTGAATTGTGGATAACTATTTTTATAGATATTATTTCTCGATTGATTAATTGAATGAATGAAATTATATTTATGCATGTGACTGATTCAATTAAATTATTTCTAGGTAGAACTAGTGGGGAAGTCAGTTATCTGGCTGATAGTGCTACTATGCACACCATCTTGTGTGAGCAACACTATTTTCCAAAGAGGAAGAAATACTTACGTGGTAAGCAAAAGGACATTTTACGAAAGAATGCCACAAGGAGTATATTTCAAGATGATGATTCATCTCAAGACTATCACTCAAGTCCATCACCAAGTCAACATGGTGGATATCATTATTAAGTTTATGTAGTTTATGAGTTTTCGATTGTGTTAAGTTTATGTGGTTTATTAATTGTCTTTTTTTTTTTTAAGTTTGTGTGGTTTATTAATGGTCGTTTGTATTAAGTTTATGTGGTTTATCATGATTTTCATTTATTGATTTAGTGATTTTCAAAATTTATCAGAATTTAAATATTTTTAGGTTAAAATGCTCATAAAATTAATTTAGAATAGTCTACATAATTATAAAAAAAATAGCCTTAATTCATTATTTGATAATCTCGGGCTATAATTTTAGGCCATAAGGGTTGGAGCAGAAAAAACTGTTTTTGGGCTAAAACCTAAAATTTATGGGTTAAATATTTTTAGGTTTTAGGTCAGGGTTGGAGATGGTCTTAGAGTTGTAATCATATTAGGGTAAGGATTTAACATATCCAACTATAAATAAAGGCACAATGAGGTGATACAATACACACCTCAAAATTACATCTCTCTCATCTATCTCTCTTGCCGCCGGCCCTTTCCCTCTGTATCCCCAAATACCGTTCTGTAAATTAAGCCTACAACACTATTTGTTTTTATGAACATTTTAATATAAAAATATTTAAATTCTGACAAGTAATTAAAAATCATACAAATACATAGGTATATAAAAAGTTTTAAGTTAAATTCGATTTAAATAATTTTTCAAAATTATTTTAGATGTTAAATTTAATTTTGGGCTGTCAAATCATTTTTTTTACCATTAGATTTGGTCTCATTTAATCATAACCGTTAGATTATATGTTAAAAACAAAAAAAGGTTTGAAATATAACAGTTTGGTGGTCCAAAAAGAAAATTTTAAGAAAAGCTTAAATCCTGAGGGGAATCTAGCCCAGAAATATATTTTTTTCCCCATGGCTTATTTTAGCCGGATCAGGATCCTCTCCTGAGCAGATGGAAAGGATCCTCCTGACCAGGCCTATCGGGCCGTTTAATTTTTATCTAACGGCTATAATTATTATAACTTTTAGATGAACCCCCTGTTTGTAGCCGTTGGATAAAAATTGAACGGTCCGATGGGCATGGTCAGGAGGATCCTCTCCATTTGCTCAGGAAAGGATCCTAATCCATTTTACCCCACTGGTTGGAGATGGTATTGGGGGGAGAGGGGTTTAAAGCTTATATTTTAAGTTTTATCCCATAAGTTAGAGATGATCTTATAAACCTATGCAAGGTCCCTTAATCCATTAATATGTGACTCATTCTCAACACATAACGCAGGAAAGTGCACCAGCCTTTGGATTCCAACGGTGCACGAATCCCAGTCGTAGAAATGTTGCTTGTTGTGCACTAGCCCATATACAATCTCTCCACGCTTCCGCGTCTGACGCACAGGGCCTGCTTTTGTCTTGTCTTCACGTGCAGCTGCAAGCTGTGGCCCTCGGCCCACTTGTTTCCCTTGTCCATCCGGGGAAGGGGCAGCAAAACCAAATTCCCACCCTCAAACCCAAGATCTCTTCTTTCTTTTCTTTTTTCTTTTTTCTTTTTTTTTTTCCACCATCAAAGTACGTCCTTGGAGATATTTTGGGACCCAAAATTCAGGTTTTTTTTTTTTTTTTTTTTTTCGCCCTCCCTTGAAGACAACCTTACATAGTTAGCAATACAACTAGGTCATACTTAGTGGAGCTCTTGTCCATATTTTCCTGGGCTGGTTTAATTCAGTTTGTTCTACGAAGTAAGATTCTCTCCCGATCTATTACCTTTCTCTTTCCTCAATTCCTCTCATATTTTTTTTGTTGTCTTTTTCTCTATATAAAAAGTTTAAAATAAGATATAGACGTAACTTTATCGTAACAGTTTAAATAAGAGGGGGAGAAAATGAGAGAGAATAGAAAGAGAGAGAACACTCAAGACCCAAGTACATACAAGATCCCTCATTAATAGGGCCAAGACAAAGCTCCAAATTATTGAATATCTACAAGGAAAAAAAAAATATTGAATATCTACCAAAAAAAATTTCAGTCTGGCTGTATTTCCACTCCGAATGATACTAATTTAGTCATAGTAGCACCTATAACGGTTATAGGAATTGTGGTTGGCATTATGAAATAATTATTATGTACTTCTTTTTATATTAGCACGTATCACTTTATCAAAATCGTTTTTAGCTAAAATAGTGATAATGCATTCCTCAGTTTTATGTTTTATGAAAGAAAAATTGAAACGAGACATATTCATGACTACAATTTTGAGTTGCCAACAATGAATAATACGTAAATTAATAATAACCCCATGATACATAACACGTAACAAGTAAATCAATAATAATAACATGAATATGTACATATTAAAAAATAATATCACATCGAAAATGTAACGTAATAATATGTAACTTAAATGTAAGAACTTCTTATCTGACTTTAAAATGGTTTAAAATGTACACTATCTAATAGGCGGTTGTTACGTGTAATAATTGGGTAAAAAATACGCATCCATCATGAAATTAGTCGAAACTTGCCCTCAAACCCCACACATATTCCCATCAATAGTTGCTCTTCACAAACCCAAAGAAAACTCCACCACAGAACAACACACAGACACACTGCTTTTTTCCAACTCCACCAAACTCCCAAACCTCACACACTCTCTCTCTCTCTCTCTTATCATGGACAGCCCACCTACCGTTACCGTTCTGAACAAACCACCGCCACCTTTCCCAGCACCGCCGCGAAGCGTCGACTTCTCTGCCCTCGAATTCATCCTTGGCCTCATCGCCGTCATCACCATCCCCGCTCTCGTCTACGCCTTCTTCTTCGCCATCAAGTGCCCTTCCAACCCTTTCCGCCGGCGACCCCGCCGGACCTCCGCCACCGTCCCCAGCCCCACCCAACACGAACCCAACACCGAAAACAAAAACGACGTCATTTCGGAGCTCAAGTACCAGAAGGAAACTCACTTTAAGGAAATCGGAACTGAGTGCCCTGTTTGCTTGTCTCTGTTTGCTGACGGCGAAGAGGTCCGGCAGCTCTGCGTCTGCAAACACTCTTTCCACGCTCTGTGCATAAACATGTGGCTTAAGGAACACTCCAACTGCCCCATTTGTCGAGCTTCGGTCGCCGTTGATCGGAGTAGTAGTAATAATCGGACGGCGGGTGCTGCAGCTAGAGGTAGTGATGATCTGCAACAAGGTTTGCGTGATGCTTCCGCCATGGTTTGAATATTAATTGTTTCTGGGTTTTGCTGGCTTAATTCTTTCGCTCTTTTTCTCTTAAGTTATTTCAAAAACTCGCCGACAAAAGTTGTAAACTTGCAGCTGGTATTTTATTAGCTTTTAGTGATGAGAATTAGGGTTTAAGAGAAATGTAGAAACCAGTAGTTAATATATGATTTCTATAATTTGAAGACCCTTTGAAGTTTGAACTTTCATATTTTTCTGGGTAGCTGGAGGATATACATAATATTTGGGGGTTAAGTTTGAGACTTGAAACTCATACTGTTTGAGCTGGATTACAGACCAGATGATTTTTATTTGAAATTTCAATTACTAGTTGGTCTTGTTATTGTAAATTACAGTTTGGCGCACGCAAATATAATTTATTAAAATCATTGAAACAAAATTTATGCACGTATATAAAACTATGATTTCTTTTTGAGATGAATGGCTTCTTATCTCAGCATGAACAAAGAATTAAAAATTAAATTAAACTTTTTCGTATTGATGGAGAACATTGTACTACTGTTTTGAAGTTCTTTACTTATATTTTGTTTTTTATAAAAAAAAAAAAAAAAGAGTATAACTTTAAGGGTTTTCATTATTTTATTTAATATTTTTTTGGCTTCGTGAGCATCTGATAAAGAGCCGGATCCTAATAATCTGAGTCTAATAATCATTTGATCCGAGTCTTTGTAATTTAATCCAACGGCTACAATTTTATAATTTTTAGAGGGGTTCCCTGTTTGTAGTCGTTTGATCAAATTTCAACGGTCCAGATCATTTGATTCTTAGGCTCAGATTATTAGGATCTGGAGGGGATCCAGTTCCTTGATAATGAGTGTAGTGGTTAGAATTTGAATCCCGAATTCTTATTGTGAGGATTCTAGAGATTAATCAATCTTAGTTGCTTATCACACATCTTACTATCTGAAATTATTTGAATTTTTAATTTTTTCTACATGGCATAATGATTTTGAGTTGCAAAATATGTGATGAGCGACTAAGATTGGTTGATCCCTAGAATCATCATGAGAATCCGAAGAGAATCCAGATCCGAGTGGCGGAAGTTTTTCTTTTCATCAGTCTGAGTTCATACTACACGTAATGACGCTATTGTTGTTTGCAATTTAATTAAAAAATAAACAACCAAATTAACACGTTTTGTGGGTCCACGTTGCTAGATTGATCAATTTCAATATTATAGCAAGGGAAAGGGATCATCTCTAGATCTATTTTCATCAAATCCATCAAGTTCGGGATTCGGGTCGTTTAAATTTGATCCAACGGTTACAAACAGGGAGGTCCTTTAAAAGTTATAACAATTGTAGCCGTTTGATTAAAGTTGAATGACTTGGATCCTGGACTTGATGAATTTGGTGGAAATGGATCCGGAGAGGATCTCTTTCCTGTAGCAAGAACCTACATTCGGTGAGTTGTCAACAGCCCATTTCATCTTGATGAATAAGTTGCCACATTCTTTCAAATTAATAAGGACTACTTGATTGTTCATTAAGAAGTAAGATGGATGATCATGTATAATTTCTAATCTTATCATGAAAGCAGCGAGATTTTCACATACAACAGAGGATATATCCTGCTCATCATATGATATACAGCCTAAAATATGCTCTGTTAATCATGTGATCAGTGTTGTATTTGGACAAAGAAAAGAAAAAACTCACCCTATGGGAGATTCCAACTGCAATCTACTAAGTCTAACTTGGCGATGGAAGCATCATGGTATGGGGAGGAAATTTCCAATGTCACATTAGTCGAGTGATAGGATAATGTGGCCCATTTCGTGCCAAAACCTTTATTTTTTTTTCCTTTGTCTTATAGTTCTATTTGTCTCTTCAGGCACATAGACTTTTTCCCAAGATTGACTCATACGGTCCTTGATATTTCTTGGTAGCAGACTTGGCTACGTAAAAGGATAAGTTGAAACTCTTACTCACAATTTATCCTTTTTTATTTAAAAAAAAATATCTCGTATTGAGATCAGATATTGTAAATTACTATATAGTTGTTTGGGCCCAAAATATTAATTTGGGCCGAGGGTAGGATCACTCTCGGCCCGGGAGGCTGATCGGCTAGTGGGCTTCCCAGCATAGGGCGGTTAAGTCAGAACGCCAGCCGAGTCCTAGTACAATGAGGAGTCTCGACGGGATCAGTAATCCAGAAGGCAAATCCGGCTCAGTTAAGGACTAGATTCATAGTCCTAGTAAAGATAGGACTGGTCGAGGTGACGTTGATCCGGGGAGGAAAACCTAGTCCGAATAGGATTCTAACTCAGACTTAAGGTCCAATGCTATAAATAGGGGAAGCTGTGTACCAGGAAAAGCTCTCTGCAAATCAATACAAAATTGCCCTGCGCAAATTCTCACAGCTTGTGATTTTTCTTTTTCCTTTTTCGCTGACACATCTTCCGTTGGCATCAACAGCACTGTGGAAGCAACCGGTGATATCTTAAGTCGGCATAGATAGCTCTGTCACCGTAGAATCAATCGGTCTCGCAGTATCTTCCGTTGGCATCAACAGCACTGCGGCGAGAACGGTTGATTACCTATCCAAGTCTCGGTCGAGAAGGGTCTCTGAACCCTTATTGGTCGAGGTCATCTCATTAGCCTTCTCGGCAAAGTGAGGTGTTACAGTTATTACATTCGGCACATTGAAAGCCGAATTTGATATTGAACTTCGTAAGAATAGTAACCTTGTCTTCAGGTTCGAGAGCCCAAGAGGCCGAGACGTGTTCCTTTCTCGGCCGCAATCGCAAGACGCAGAAGTCAGTAGCGCGACCTAACGCAATATCAACAGATTTACTCCTCGGCCGAGCTAAGCCGACGAGTTGGCACGCCCCGCAATCACCGAAGGACTTAGTTAGCTTATAGATTACTCGGCCTGCGCGCCACGTAGGCTTTGTAGTTTCTAGGGTCAACATTTTGGCACGCCCAGTGGGACCCAGTGCTAAACTACGAAGTTCATGCCAATTGAAACACGATCGGTAAAAAAGAAAACCACTATGGGAAAGTCGACAGCCGATTTGCCGAATCAAAACACGGGACAAAGTGTGCCACAGGCGCAGAATCCCCTTAGCGCTGTGACACCTGAGTCCACAAGCGCGACCCGCCGAGAGAGAGAAGTTAATCTCGGCGGTCAGCTCCGCGGTCTAGAAATCCCTAACAGAAACACATGCGTTCTCACTGAAGGGATAGTAGAGGAGTGCGACGAAGATGGTGGTGAAGGATCTGATCCACCGACAAGGTCGTTTCTTCGAAAGCGACTAGACGAGCAGTCTCGGTCAGTCGAGCAGACGTTCAGTCGAGGCATTGACAAGCTGCATGACGCGATACTCAGTTCCAATGATCGACAAACCAGGCTGCTCAAAATGCTGGTTAGTAAAGTTGGGGGCAGCAGGCCTTTCGATCTTCTCCAACATTGTCCACCAGGAAACAACCCTGTACTGATTGTACCGGCCGAGCCTATTCCTGCTCCGCTCAAACCAATTAACTTGGAAAAAAGAGGAGGGTCGAATAGTAGGTCAGACGGAACCGACCAGAGGATCAAAGCAACACCTGTTGATATTACCGAAGTTCAGCGGATGATCGACTCGGCCATGAAGAAAGGACCGAAGTTTCCCAAGTTTATTCATCCGTACCCAGCTTACGTGGAAACGTTTGGATACCCGAAGGGTTTCAAGATCCCAGATTGTAGTCTTTTTGCCGGTGAATCGTCCCTGTCTTCGTTGGAGCACGTGGCTCGTTTCACCGCGCAATGCGGAGATGTTAATAGTGATTTCCATAAGTTACGGCTGTTCAACTTTTCATTGACCGGCTCGGCATTTGCCTGGTACATCAATCTCCCTCCTAATTCCGTCCAAAACTGGGAGGAGTTGGTCGAGAAATTCCACGAGCAGTTTTATCGGCCGGGGATGGAGATGTCAGTCCCTTCATTAGCACGGATGGCTCAGGCATCTGATGAGTCACCAATGGATTATCTTACCAGGTTCAAATCAGCTAGGAATTGGTGCCGAGTGCCTTTACCCGAAGTCGAGTTTGTCAGGCTTGCTTTAAACGGCCTTGACGTCGAATACAAAAAGAAATTCTTGAGGGCAAATTTTCGGGATATGTACGAATTAGCCCAACATGTCGAGCAGTATGATTATTTGCTCCGCGAGGAAAAGACTTCGAAGACCCCAACTCGGGGAACGATTTACAAGAACCCTACTGTCAATTATGCATCAACCGAGGATGAATGCGTTAGTGTGGATGCGGCTGAGATAGTGATAGATAAGCCATACGTTTGCAAGGCATTGACTCAAGTTGATTCTAGAGAAGCCAAAAGTCGCTCGGCCACTGAAGGAACATTGAAACTGTCAAAGGTTTATACTTTTGATATTACCAAGGCTGACGCAATTTTTGACCAACTGTTATCAGCAAGAATCATTAAGCTTCGGCCTGGTCATAACATTCCTAAGGCCGAAGAACTTAAAGGAAAGGTGTATTGCAAATACCACAATTCGAGCAAACATACGACAAACAATTGCGTTGTATTTCGCGATAACGTCCAAAGCTGGATTAATAATGGCAAACTGAAGTTTCCCGAGAAGAGGATGAGTATTGATACTGATCCGTTCCCCACGGCAACAGTAAATATGGTTGACACGTACCTACACAAGGACAAAGGGAAAGGTAAGGCCGAAGTGGTTGAGACGCAATGCCCGCGGAATCAGAATTTTCGGCCACAGTTCATGGCCGATTTTCGTTCAAACAAACCACCTACGGCTTTAACGGGGCCCGCTATTGTCAAACCTATGATGGATTATAGCACCGATGAAGACTGTGGGACGGCGGTTTTATGCAGGAAATGTAGAGCGAAGGTCGACAGTGAACCAGAGGAGAAGCCCTCTGTGCAACCTGTGGCCGCGACTCGGCAAAAGGTAGCCAATGAAGGCCAACATCACGGGGTTTTTGAGAGGCTCGGTCCTAAAGTACGGATGGAAGAGACACCCCTGGTCAGGCGGCGCCTTGATTTTGATGCTTCATTCTATGACAATGATTACTATAAGCGTAATTCTAGCAGTTCAGAATCATCGCGGAACCAAAAGACCTTCAAGCCTCCCGAGCCTAGAGATCAACGTTGGTATACATACCATTCTTCGAAGGGCGTCTACACTGCGTTGTCCAAATCTCAGAAACGCCGGCATCAACGGATAGATTGCATGGCTCGCTGACGAGCAGCCCAAGAAACTTCGGTCCCTAAGTGGCGGCCGAAGGACACAGTTGCCACTGATGACGAGCGACCACCTCCAGCAATTATGACAGAGTTGGCTCAGGGGA